CTGTTATGCCCTCTTTGCATGATGCAAGAAGAGTCTCCTTCACATTTGTTTTTCTCGTGTTCGGTGGTGTGGGCTGTTTGGAATAAATTTCTTAACTTCTGGAAGATTCAAACTGTTTTTCATTATAATGCTAAAAGTTTTCTCTTGAATTGGGATGCGTTGAAGACTAATTCTCCGATTTGGTCTCTCATTCCAGGGGTAGTTATTTGGACTACTTGGAAATTGAGGAACTCAATTGTTTTTGAAGGAGGGAAGTTGGATGAGGTTGAATGAGGTTGGATTCTTCTTCTTAGCAAGGTTTAGGCTTGCTTCATGGTTCCTAGCGAAGAATAAAGGGGTGCATATTCTTAAAGACTCTTATTTCAGACCCCTCCTTAGGGGACGTTTGTTCCACCCATTCTAATATGATTGTGTCTACTATTCCGTGGCATCCTCCTCCTATGGGTTTTGTGAAAATTAATGTTGATGCAGCTACGACTAAGGATTGGAAGAAGAGTGGTTTAGGAGGAGTTTTAAAAGATTCCTCTGGAACTACATTAAGGTCTTTCAAGGAGCCTGTAGGTCCGGGGCCTCCAACATTTATGGAGTTAAAAGCTATTCAAAAGGGGCTAATGTTCTATGCTGATTTTCGAGCGAGGATCAAAGACAGGTTGATTATTGAAAGTGACAGTGGACTGGGTTAAGGGGGCTGAATTATGTCATCATGTTTATGCTTATTTGGTTACAGACATTGTTTACTGGCTTAATATGTTCGATGGTGTGGTTAGATGGGTAAGCAGGACATCTAACTTAGAGGCTGATGCCTTAGCTAAAGAAGGAATCGGTTGATTAAATGTTGATGTTTATGGGTCACAAGGTTGCCTTGTGTTGACCTGTCTGTTTACTTTACTTTTAGGGTTGTATCTTGTATATTATTGTTTTGTTCAATAATATCCTAAGGCACTCTTTTCCTCCTTCGCTGATTAAGGAGCTTATCAACAAGCACCTTCAATCAAGGAGGTTTTTAATGAGACCTGAAATTCTTATAAAAAAAATGCTTCACATCTGATTTCATTGTGAATACAGGATTTGCCTTTCTTGCACATGTACGATGACTCAAATGCTGATCTCTCATCTTACTTAAACGATGCTGGATCACCACTTGCAACTCTTTAGAATCTATGTGGTATGCATATGCTTATGTTTGGTGTCATAATTTTAGCATATGTTTGCTCTAAAATGCTTGCTAACTCTGCCTTTGGAACCGAATTTTGCCACGCTTGATGTTGGATTGATGATTTGATCACAGGATTTCGCTGCTTATCAGTTAAAAGGAATTTTTTTCTCTATGATGGAACAAAATCTCGTCTTCCTATCTAAAACATATAAACCTCCTGAAATAGGAATTGTACTGAATTTGATAATGGAAAGTGGAATTTTTTTTGTCTATTTGACGACTTCTTGCATTCTGTTTAGGTGATGGGGCCTATGATAGTGCATACATATTATATCTTCACTAACTGAATCACTCTGCGAATTTTTCGAATTGGGTCATAAAAGATTACGATCGCTTGATTTTGCCTGCACAACTTCACATGCATCTCGGTGTACTTGAAAGATTACGAGTTGCATCTCGCTGTAGCTCGATATACCATAATTCTGTAAATAATAATACGATAAATAATAGGATCAAAAGGCAATTAACAAAAAATGGTGTACATGACTGAATCATTATGGAATTTGTAGATAAAAGATAACTAGATTAATGATAAATAAAAGAAAGAACACTTACTTTCAACTATTAGTTGGTCTGTTGGGTAAAGCTTTAGATCTCCTAAATAAAGATAGGGTTCAAATCTTGGTATTGTGAATTGAAAAAGAAAACCGTATTGAGATGGTCACCCCATGAATCCCTAAGATTGGCTCAATTCTGTTGAAACAAGAGAGAAAACAAGACGACATTCCTGTCAGGGGCATCTAATAACATAAAGCGTGTCGATGGGCATTACGTAACATAAGCACTGTCAAGCCTTGGTAACTGTCCTAGAAGTAATGACTCGCCTTCCCTAATAGAATGGAAAAGAGTGTGTGGATGTTTTATCTTGCAAAACTAATGATAGACAGAGATATAAAATGCATGGAAAGGTTTATACGGTCAAGAGAGCAGAGATTACCTCGGTGGTAATGCCAGGTTTATCAGAAGACGGCGGATGGCATTCTAACATTCAATCCCGGGTATATAAGTCCCTCGATCAGGAAATCCAAGAGAGCAGTTAACCAGCAACCATTTTAGACTTCTTACTACGACAGATGCTGGGAGAGGGGGAGGGAAGCAAGGAGTGCAGCACCAAAATTGATTGCAAATGACGACTTAAAGCAGAATCTAGTATTGGTAACACGGTATGAACTAAGAAGTCAGTCTAGAAACACTGAAAAGAAGCACAAATTTGATGCAACAACCTTGTTGCACGAGGGATCTTACCATGTATAGTTCCTGAGATTTTTGATGAGAGAATCTGCACATTCAAGTAACAAAGCAGGAAGGAATTAGTAGTCCCCAGTTGGTACCGCAATCATCTTGTTCTATATGTAAAAACACGACCAGTTATTGAAATGAACATTCTTACCTCTCATCCTTAAAGCTTAGGTGAAGTTACCACATCGCATATAACTTTGTGTTTTGATCGGCAACGAAATCTGGTTCTGTAAAATGACCAATTGCCCATGGTTCGTTGTGCTTCGGATGCGGAAGAGTCGAATATCTGAACGGGGACATTTTGGTAATATAATTATGTTGAGCCGGCTCCTAACCTAATACAGCTTGTACCTCGTGGCCATGTCCTCCCTTTGTGAAATTTAATTGAATTGTTTTATTGACTAGTGTCTTAAATATTAGAATTATTATATTAAGTAAATTATTGTCTTTATTTAATTCAGGTTCAGGGTGTAAATGAATAAAACGTTCGGTTAACTGTTCGTGAACCGTTCGATAATGTTTGTTTATGTTCGTTTGTTAAGTTAAATAAACGAATATGAACAAAAAAATTATGTTCATTTAATAAACGAACGAACATGAACAAAGGTATGTTAGGTTCGTTTATGTTCACGAACAAGTTCGTTTATGTTCACGAACAAGTTCGTTTATTGACTTGTTCATTTATGTTCATGAACAATCTCATTAAATTGATTCTCATTTTTATTTTATTTTTTATATTTTAAATATTAGTGAAAGTAAGGACTAAATTGAACACATGATAAAAGTTAAAACTTAAAATGTGAATTTTAAGGATTTTAAGTACTAGTAACATAGTTTTATCATTTTTCTTTAGCTTATAAATGAAATGACCATTCAACTCAGTTGGTAGAGCACAAGGTTCTTAACCTTGAGGTCGTGGGATCGAGTCCCACGGAGGGCATTTCATAATTCGGAGGTCTCTTACGGAAGTTGCTCTCAACCTGGTGTTGGGGGTAGCCTACTATCTTACCTCCCCCTTACCCCATATATATATGGGAAAAAGGGACAACCATTCTTTAGCTTATAAATAAAATGATAAAACTAAAAATTGAACATATAAATGAACGATGAACATTAAATGAACACTAAACAAACTCTAAATGAACATGTTCGTAAATGCTAAATGAACACGTTCGTTTACGAACATGTTCGTGAACATATAAACGAGCACGTTCACGAACAATAAATAAACGAACACGAACACCTTCAAAAATAAATAAACGAACATAAGTACCATACTAAAAATTTAAACAAATGTAAACCGAACATGAACACCTCCAAAAATAAATAAACAAACACGAACATAACTTTATTCAATCAAGCTCGGTTCATTTACACTCCTATTCAAGTTTATTCAATTAATTATTATAAAAAAGTATTTCTTTTAAGAAAATATGCAGAGAACACTAGTTAACGATATCCGATCTAGTTTTATTTTAGTTTAAGAAATTATTTAAACTTTAAAACATTGTAAATATTCAAAAATATTCAAAAAAATAGATAAAGATGATAATATATAAATTGAATAAACAAAACAAAACTAATAATAGTTAATATTTTGTTTGGTTTCCCTATTTTTTTATTTTTTTATTTTTTTTTCTACGTTGGTCGACTTGTTATTCTTTCATGGTCTATTGTTCATACTGGTTGTCCCTCAATGAAACTATGCCTCGTCAGCTCGTCCATTAAGTTTTTAACGGTGTGGTACTAAAATGAAACAATAACTAAACGTTAGATATGATTTTTAAAAAATTGAAAGCTTAAGTATAAAAATGGAAAACTGATAGTTTAGGTACTAAATGCATAGTTTACCCTATTTATTAATATAGGTGACCGAGGACCGTTTTACAATCCGACCACCTTAGGTCGGCCATAACGTCCCACAACCGACCCCATATGGCATAATAGCAAAAAGACCCTCAACTTTTTCCAGCTTTTAAATTGTGCCCTCAAAGTTTTTATTTGACAATTTAAACAATACAATTTTGTTTTGTTTTTTAAAATAACCCTTTATTAATGACGGTAAAAAAAATTAATGATTTGATACGACAGTTTTGAGGATGCAATTGGAAAAAACAAACTCAATGTAGTTTTTTACCAATGTTTTTGGTTATTGACCGTTACAATGCTGACATTGCAGTTCACAGTGTTGACGAAACAGTCTACGATGTTGATGTGATAGTCTATCTGCCATTTTTGAGTTCCAATTTAGTTTATCTACCATGTTACTTATCACGTTATCAATCATTGTGGACTGTCACATCAGTACCGTGAATCGTCACGTCAGTAACGTGAACTACTACATCAATATTGTAATGGTCAACAACAAAAATCATTGGTTAAAGGGACACATTGGGTTCATTTTGAGTTAGAAGACCACTTTGAGATAGAAAAATAATATGAGGGTCATATTGATTTTTTTAAAAGTACATGGACCTATAATACATTTTTGCCTAAAAAAATAAGTATATAGATTAGTAATCTTATGTTTAAAGAATAAATTAAGAATAATCTTTATTGCCACACCCCCCAAAAGAATTACAAGCAATGATACCTATATCAACAACACTAATTAACGATGATGTAACAGACCGCTATAGAAAACAAGTGGACGTGGTACGGCCACCATGGTGCAACAAATTGTGAGCGATGTGATCCCTAGCTTGTGCGGCAGCCATGGACCTTATGTTATTTTCCGGCACCACCTCGTCGTCGAAAAGCTCGAATTCAAACTCGGGATCCATCGTCTCGTTTCTCATCTCACAGATATTATGCAAAAAACAGCAAGCACCGAGCACATTCAGCAGGTCTTGGAGCTTCACCTCGGTTCTCTTTTGTAAACACGACCACCGTCCTTTCAGCCTCGCGACTGCATCCTTGGCCACCTTCTCGATTTCCCCGATCTTCTCGTTGAAACCGTGTTGAGCCCAAGTGAGATTTCGGTGACTGTAGGGAACCAAAACCCAGTCCATTAATGGGTACCCTTTGTTCCCCACGAACCATATGTCTTTCAAATGCCCCCTTGTTGCTCTTTGGTGGAACGCTGATTTCTCTAGAATTTGGTCATCGGTCATCGAGCCGGGCCAGCCGATGCATACGTCGGTGAAAGCTCCGGTTTGATCGACGACGTCTTGGAGAGTGATTGAATACGAAGTTTTTTGGTTCCTGTCCGTGTGTTTTTTATTGAAATACGCTGCGACGCTTACATTCGGTGCGATTATGGGAATGTGAGTCGTGTACATTGAACCGCCCACGTTTGGGATCCCGGCGGCGGATTCAAATCCTTGTTTGATTCTCTTCGTTTTGTTTTCGTCGGGCCATTGAACGAATTTGGCCATCAGGACGGTTTTAACGGCGGTGCAAACCTCCAAGATCTGCTTATGACAAGTGGAGATCCCCAACCCGAACCGTTTCGATACCATCCTGAGCGATTCACCCGTGGCTAGCCTCAAAATACATATCGCCACGCGCTGACGGACCGGGATCGCATCTCGGAGCATCGTGTTCTTCTTCATCACCGCCGGTTCGAGTTCCTCGCAGACCATGTTGAATGTAGCTTTGCTCATACGAAACGCGCGTTTAAACTCCTTGTCGGGGAAATCCGGGTGGTTACACTTGTCCCACCAGTCCTTCGATCTGTCTTTCACCCATAACCGCCTTTGTTGGCCGGATCCTCTACCCGATTGCGACGGACTTACATCGTCCGACCCGAAAGAAACCGTGTTCGCCGTCGCCGTAGCAGCAGCTAAACCCGAATTACGCTCGCGTTTGTTTCTGGAATCATCCAGCTGGTTCATTTCGGAGTATTGGTTCTCAAACTGATCAAAGAACATATTCATTTCTTGAACTTTCTCGTTGTAACTGGGTTCGAAGAAAGCTGTTTGTTGATCGGAATCGGTGAACCATTGATGCTCTTGCTTTGGTTCCTCGTCCAACATCAAAATCGAGGAAAGTATATCACCAAACCCTCTCTTTTCGTTGACTAAAGATTCCTCGAACTCTTTTCTACCCCTCTTCTTATCGTTCCCGTTGAACCCATTTTCCATATCCGGAATCCACGGGAAATTGCTGCTGCTGTTGAAATTAAAGGAGAAATCTTGTGGAGAAAGCAATGCGAAAGACCCGATTTCCATGTAAACAAAACGAGATTAGTGTTTTCTTTTTTGATTGAACTGATCGACGAAATATGGAAAAAGAAGGCAAGTGTGAAATGAAGGGCTCTGGGTTTCCTTGTTTACGTAGCAGCGGGAACGATTGGAGAGCGAAAGGGGATGCGCGTGCGGGAGGGGGAGTGTGAACGCGGTTGGCTTTGACGCTGATTTGACTTTCTTAGTTTATGTTAAAAAAATTAATGCTAAACGGAACTAGAGAGTAGGAAGTAGGGATGGAGTCGGATTACGTCGGATTTCTGGACAGTTTCATCCGAAAAATATATACTATTCACACAATTCAAAAATTATATATTCTCTATCCAATTTGAACTGACTCGATCTTTTAAGATAAAATTCAAATCTGACCCGACCTGGTTCATATATATTTATCAAAAAATTATTTCTTTTATTCAATAAAAAATAGAAATTTAATTGAAAAAAATAATATATAGAGGGGACTTATTACAATTATCTCAAATATATAAGATAAAATTACATTTCACTTGAGTTGTAACATCGAATATTTTTCACCTTAAACCCGAATTCGACCTAAACATAGTCTCTAAAAGACTAACCTGACCCGACCCAATTCGATTTTTTCTCTAAAATAATTTAACTTAATAGAATTAAATCGGATCAAACCCGTCTAGTTCAAATCTCGTACATATCTCTAACATGAAATAACTTAGAGTGTAAAGAATAACTGAATAAGACGGTATAACCCTAATTCCTTTCTTGAGTAAGAAAGAAACTGCATGGCATACAAATCTAGAAAAGGGTACTAGTGGACCATATGGTCTAGATGAAGCTCCCAAGTTTAAACCTATCATTTTATTTTGTATTGTAATTTAAATAAGAGAAAATCGCCTCATTGACCAAAAATGCCTTATAATATATGATTTTAACCAACTTTTTTTGGATTTGCCAAAATGACCAACAAAATCGCAACGCGAAATAAAAATCGCAACGCGATCCCCATAATCGCAAATCAGTTTCCAAAATCGCAACGCGATTCTTGAAAATCGCAATGCGATAGTACAAATTCGCATTGCGATTTTCCAAAATCGCAACGCGAATATGAAAATCGCAACGCGTATGGGTAAATCGCAATGCGTATCCGTATATCGCAACGCGTATCCGTAAATCGCAACGATAATACATAAAATCGCAACGCGTATCCGTAAATCGCAACGCGATATTTAAAGCGCCATTATAATCGCTACGCGTATTTTATTTTCAAATTACAAAAACGAATATTAAGACAAAATCCCGTAATCGCAACTCATAACCTAAAACCTAAAATCACAACTCAGTCCCATCTCCATCTCTCACTCTCTACGGCGAAGAAATCCGTCCCCATCTCCGGCGAAATCCCTCACAACCATTCACGGTCAGAAATCCCTCACAATATTCAGAAATGGAAAATCAACCTCCGAGGGTTAGTTTTTTTAATTATTTTTATTTTGAAATGTTTGCATTATTGTAGGTTTTTCATATTGAAACTGATGATAAGTTTACTGGTCATTTCAATAATAGATTAACCATTTCACTTAGATTTCATTTCGCGTTACGATTCTGTCGTTGCGATTTTCATTTCGCGTTGCTATTCTCTCGTTGCGATTTTCAAGTTAGTATTTGTCTTTGTCTTTGTTCTGTCTTTTGGTTGAAGTAATGCAATCCATTCAAGTTTCAATTTGCAGAAGAGTCGCAACGAGATAAATGAAAATCGCAACGAGAGAATGACTGTCGCAACGAGAGAAATGAAAATCGCAACGAGAGAAATGAAAATCGCAACGAGAGAATCGCAACGCGAAATGAAAATCGCAACGAGAGAATCGCAACGCGAAACCAAAATCGCATTGCGATTTTCATTTCGCGTTGCGATTCTCTCGTTGCGATTTTCATTTTGCGTTGCGATTCTCTCGTTGCGATTGTCATTTCGCGTTGCGATTCTCTCGTTGCGATTTTCATTTCAACCAAAAGACAAAACAGTGTTGCAAATTTTAGTTTCAAGAATAAACTACTACTTTTTATGTTTATTGTTTTTGGTATATCTTCACAGTGTAGTTTTTGGTATATCTAACTTGGTATGTTTATTGTTTTTGTAGAAATTTTTTTCGGCTCAATTGACCTTGAGAAATAAAGTCAGCCTGACCACTACAATTGCTTCGAAGCTTTCACCTGCTCAAAGACAATTGTTTGAGGAAACCTGCTTCGGGCCATGGCTGAGAGTACAGCATCCGGGTGGAGATGCTAATTTGACCCATTTGTGGCTTCAGACCATGACATCAAATCTACCCGACAGTATACAACGTGGTGAGGAAGAGATATGGTTTCATTTTCCACCAGCGTATACTTGTTTTGGGCGGAAGGAGTTCTGCTTAATCACTGGTCTACGATTCGGACACGATGATGTAGGCCGGTACACTCGTCATATCGCCCGCCCATCATGGTTATCACGGGTTTTTCCGGATGAGTCAATGGAGAAGCCGAACCTACATGTCGACGACCTGAAGAAATTGTTTAATAAGAAAGCTGGTTTCACTCGGATGGATAACGTCGATGTTGTCCGAGTATGCCTTCTACTACTTGTGTATGCCGGCTTTTTAGGCAGAGAGGCCAGACAACCTATTCATCGGGAGCTAATAATATTGGTAGAGGACCTGAATGCATGGAATCTGTTTCCGTGGGGTTCGTATATGGAAAGCTACCTGGACTAAGTTGTCGTCTGCCTTTGATGACCGCAAAAGTTTGCGGGGCGATGGGTCCAAATACACTTTGTCAGGCTTTGTTTGGGCCTTTAAGGTAAGAATTTCTATATAATGTTTCTAAATTATAATTAATTATTTAACAATTACTAATTTTGTTATTATATTGTTTGTAGATTTGGATATTCGAGGCTTTCCCCAGCATGCGTACATATGCAATAAAAACGTCAAATGATATTCCCAGGGCTATTTCCTGGAAGAGGAAAACTCTGTTGGATTGGGAAGACTTAATACCATATGCGACAATAAATAATGTAAGTTAACACAAATACTTTCATATAATATATAAACAAGTTATTAATAGTAGACGTTTAACTTTGTTTGAGTTTTTATATTTTAGGAGGCCAACATTCCATTACAAAGACTGACACCCACGGAGGAAGAGCTTGCCACTGATTGGTGGCAAGCTAGTCAGAGTTTTTTTGATGGCACGGATGATGAGCAGCATCCACTTCCTCCAATTCGAGAGCCATCACCTCACCTAGAGCCATCACCCGATCGACCCGACTATACACCTCTAGAACGAGAGCCATCACCTATCCCGTCACATCATCGAGCCTCTTCTCCACCATCACCTCATGATAGGCGACCGGCAAAGATGTCACGACTCCTATCTCCCTGTTCTCCACCTCCACGGGATGAGTCAAGGGAGTTACGTGATGAGGTCAATGCCTTGCGTGAGGAGATCGGTACTCTACGCGATAACGATGGTGCATGGCGTGTGGAGGTGTCAACTTTACGTGGTGAGGTTGCCGCTCTACGTGAGATGATAGTATCGTTGCAGAATGAGGTTCATACTCTACGCAACGAGGTAAGTTTAAGATTTTCCATATTTAACTTAATGATAAATTTACTCGTAATTTCACTTAGATTAGCCATTTCACTTAGATTGCTTAGTAAATTTATTCGGTTGCTGCCAATTCTGCTAAACTGTGTATTCTTTAACACTGTGAAATAGTATTTGTCTTTGTTTTGTCTTTTGGTTGAAAGTAAATTTGTTCGGTTGCTGCCAATTCTGCTAAACTGTGTATTCTTTAACACTGTGAAATAGTATTGTCTTTGTTTTGTCTTTTGGTTGAAAGTAAATTTGTTCGGTTGCTGCCAATTCTGCTAAACTGTGTATTCTTTAACACTGTGAAATAGTATTTGTCTTTGTTTTGTCTTTTGGTTGAAAGTAAATTTGTTCGGTTGCTGCCAATTCTGCTAAACTGTGTATTCTTTAACACTGTGAAATAGTATTTGTCTTTGTTTGTCTTTTGGTTGAAAGTAAATTTGTTCGGTTGCTGCCAATTCTGCTAAACTGTGTATTCTTTAACACTGTGAAATAGTATTTGTCTTTGTTTTGTCTTTTGGTTGAAAGTAAATTTGTTCGGTTGCTGCCAATTCTGCTAAACTGTGTATTCTTTAACACTGTGAAATAGTATTTGTCTTTGTTTTGTCTTTTGGTTGAAAGTAAATTTGTTCGGTTGCTGCCAATTCTGCTAAACTGTGTATTCTTTAACACTGTGAAATAGTATTTGTCTTTGTTTTGTCTTTTGGTTGAAGTAATGCAATCCATTCAAGTTTCAATTTGCAGAAGAAGAAATAGTTTACTTTCGCAACACGAAACTTAAAATCGCAACGCGAAACCAAAATCGCAACGCGAAATGAAAATCGCAACGACAGAATCGCAACGCGAAACCAAAATCGCAACGACAAGATCGCAACGCGAAACCAAAATCGCATTGCGATTTTCATTTCGCGTTGCGATTCTTTCGTTGCGATTTTTATTTCGCATTGCGATTCTGTCGTTGCGATTTTCATTTCGCGTTGCGATTTTGGTTTCGCGTTGCGATTTTAAGTTTCGTGTTGCGAAAGTAAACTATTTCTTCTTCTGCAAATTGAAACTTGAATGGATTGCATTACTTCAACCAATAGACAAAACAAAGACAAATACTAACTTCAGGGTATTAGTTTGAAACATATTTTTCTTTGTTATCTGATGCATTTTGTGAACTATGATAGAATAATGACTTGGGTGAATACAATGCAAGTTTGAAACATATTTGTCTTTGTTTTCACTGTTTAAATATCATGTATGTTTATTTACTGATTTTTGTATTAATTATTTAGCGGCCCGATAGAGTGGATGCTTTACGTCGGGTTATGCTTGCACGACGGAGTTCACGCATCAGACAGCGTGCACGTGCTATTAAGTCTCCGTACACCCCAATAGTGCGAAGACACCGCAAGAAGAAGCCCGACTCGCCTGTCATCCCTCAAGAGTCCACTCCTATCGTTGAAGAGGCCCCC